GCTAACAAGATGGTGTATCGGTCAGGATACAGGAAGGAGGACAACAGGCTTCCACTTTGCTGGATTGTCACCGCCAGCTGTTTTATTGCTACCTAGATGCTCAGTGTTGCCAGCAGTCTGTAGTAACAAACAAGTTGCCATGAGTATATAAATATATACAACAACAGCTTCACTAAGATAAACATAAAGAATTAAATGAAATAAACCAACACATCCATCTGAATATACACATAACACAACATATATGATTTGAACTATGCCAATCTTACATCTCTTGCTCCAAACACAGATAGGACACAATTAAACACAGTGAGAATGTCATACATAGCCGAAACATCCACTCTAACTGTAAACAAAGGACTTTGGCGCCATCGTGTGGCCGAATAAAATTACTACATAATGGCGGCGGCCAGCGGCACATGCTTCGAGTCACGAGATGAAAAAATGCGGTGCTATAATGTGGTAGAATGTAACTAAAGCCGCGGCCAACATCAGAATCAGAAAATAAACATATTCAAGGAAACTTACTTCCAGTCATGTACTTAACACTCGGAGCATCACTGTGAAGGATGGCAACCAGGAACACAGCTTACGAGGTAAACAGAACTAACACGGAAAACAATCTCCCCTTCTCGAGTAGCCTCGCGTTACCCCCAACTTCTGCCTACGTCATTTCCTAAGACTTCACCCCACACAATATTGCAGAACATAGACATAAAATCCCAGAGCCTTTTATACATATATATTACGTTTAACCCAAGCAGCGAAAGTCCGCGGTGATCTGAAAATTATGTGCCGGGAGTTGTGCCGTTCTCAGCCGCATCAGTAACCCTCGAGCTCCCGGCTAGCTATCGAGCTGGTGGGTAGCAGACGCCTCCGGAAACGTCGAAGAACTTTTGCAAATATGCGATATCCTGATAAAACGAGCAGATATTTGATGTTTACACAGCTACTTTCTCGCCTGAAAATATGTTAAAAGTTTATTTTGTGACCCAGAAAGAATAATAAGAGTAATTTTAAAACTTAGTAGCGGCCATTGTTGGAAACTGGAGTTTGACTGGGCTGCGCTATGAATTCTGGGATATGGTAGGCCACGAAGGGCACACCCGACCCATCCTTCAAATTCGGGGAAAAGGAGGACTGATTTGTCGGCTACATTCGGAGGAGTCTACGAATTTGGACAGCCTTCGGCGCGTCGCTGTGACGTGATCGGTCTACAAATGCGGCCTCAGGAGGATGCAGCCCATGAATTTGGACATGTCCATTTAGTCAGACAGGCAGCATGAACTAGTACAAACAATTACAGCAACAAATGCCGGATCATTGTTCAGGCGTGTGCATGACTGAGGTTTCATAACAGTTTTTAACAATAGTTATTAAGAAACACATCATCAGAAACTAAATGGATTTAAATCAGATTACTATGTGATGCATCATGATGGTGGTGGGAATATTCAAGTCTGTGGGTGTTTTAATCTTCTCAATCTAAACACTTGCACTGAACTGACTCCACTCTAATCTTGAGAGACATGATCCACTCTCTGGTTTCAGTTTTCTAATGGTTTGGTAGGATTTTAAATGCAGAACATGTATTTATGTAGTAGTATTTGTGCATTTGTTAAATTTGTTGCATATTAAAAAAGGCACCTGTAACATTCTGTCCAACTTTAAGCAAAACACATATTTCTAAAATAACTTAAAATATAATAATGAAACAATACTTCCCCCTGCTGCTTGAAATATGGAATTTTATTTGATAGCACTTCTTACAGAAAGAGACAACAAACCAAAGATAAAACCCCTCGAAAAACAAAAGCAAGAAAAATTAGAAGACATTGTCAGAAAAATAGATT